CGATGGCAGTTTTTTTATATATTTTTTTAAATACTGGTAGGAAATACAGTACTATATGATTTCATTTATATCACATGTTTTTCAGTAAAAAGTGAGTAAATATACAATATTGCCTCTGAAATTAAAATTAAATTAAAATTAAAAAGGTGTATTAAAATTAAAAAGGTGTATTAAAATTAAAAAGGTGTACGTTAAAAAACAAATGAAGGCCCTTTCTTGAGCCATAACTGAAATAATTGATGCAATTAACATGCAAATAGACATTAAAATATGATTTGAATTTTACATTTTTAAATGGCGTTGCCAATGGCGACAGATCACTCGCCATCATCACAGACCTCAAGGTATATGTTAAAATAGTTAATACTCTGACGCTATGATTAACAGAACAGAACTGCTACCGCGGAAACGGGATGCAACGCGTCATCAGTGAAGCTCGTCACATGAAGCAGGTTCTGACGCTATGATTAACAGAACAGAACTGCTACCCCGGAAACGGGATGCAACGCGTAATCAGTGAAGCTCGTCACGTGAAAGCAGGTTGAGAAGAGGGCCGTCCCGTCACGTGCTCAAAGGTTGAGAAGGAGGGGCGATCTTGAGGTTGAGAAGGAGGGGCCTGTGGTACTGCGCACTGCAGTGAGGGGTACTACGCCATAACCAGCGCCATATAGATAGTCTATACGGCGCTGGCCATAACCAATGTTGTCCGGACTGTTGTTTTTATGCGGCACCGGCTTGAACAGGTCATGTGATCTGATCACGCCGGCGTGACGGTCGACTCCAAAGGGTTAATTACAAACTTCTTAATGAAAATCTCCGATGTTTCATTACCGTAAATGTACTTTTAACATCAACATACATTTAAAAAGTGACTGTGTGTTTGTGTATGTGTGTGTGCGTGTGTTTGTGTGTGTGTGTGTGTGTGTGTGTGTGTGTGTGTGTGTGTGTGTGTGTGTGTGTGTGTGTGTGTGTGTGTGTGTGTGTGAGCAGTTGTGGACATCAAACTTTGACTAAATACATCCAGTTCAGCCTCAGAGGACCTCATTCAGTAACTTTGTTTCAGCATGACGGTGTGTATTACCTGTTGACTGGCTTTTATTTCCAAACTGAGCAAATAATTTGAAGAGTGGCGCCATTAACAATTTAGTATTAGATTTGAACTGTATTTTGACTCAGCAGGTCAACAGGCTAGGCTGTACACATACAAGTGCTGGGATTAGGGACTGTAGCAATTTGGTAATCAATGTAATGTGTGGTTTAGGTGTTACACTTATGGGAATGTGTGACAAGCAAGATTTATACGATGACAGTTGTTTTATCTGAATGTGTCCAACACTGGCTAAACCAAACCCTAACCCCACACCCACACATTCCCATGTTTCATTTTTAGGGCTTGGAGAGCTTTGAGCATCATGATACTTTGAGTATGTCGTGAGTCTTTAAATTAACTCTTGTTTCCTGAAGGAGGAACTCAATGACCTTTCTGTAATAACAGTGTCAGAAATGTGTCTGCCTTAACTGGTCATTAAAGAAATATGTTGATAACATTCTCTGCAGTGCTTGTCACCATTTCTGCTGCCATTTTCCTCTCACTTTGTTTCACATACGAAGTTATAGAGTGTTGCAGTGATGACGTAGCCCAACAGTTAGCTTCGCAAGGGCTCCTTCGTCAAAAAGCAATGGGTTTTTCTATTGGATTTTGGAATATTGCAGAAAATAATCTCTGTGGCAAATACCATTTATGATACTTACTCTTAATCACCAGAATTAAAAAGCTAACATTAGGCTATAAACAAACTACATCACAGTCACATGGCTGCGCATCAGCACAGCTAAGCTAAAAGTGGCTAATGTTTGGCGTGATGACGTTTTGTAGTCTCAATTAGTCACTTGTTAGCCACTGCTGTTTTTATGACTCATAGAAGCTTCGGACATCACAGTTGGGGTGTTTCCCGATGTATTTTATGTCATAGAAAAAACGCGTAAAAATCTATTTAGCTTGTGTTAACCAATGATCTTATTTCAGGCATCTAACTGAAAACACGTTCAAAAAAGGTTGACTTGGAGATGAGGGAACCAGAAGCAGTAAAATGCTAACTTTTTAATTCAAATTTCCGGGTTTCAAGACTCATTCGTGCACCGCTCTATGTAGACGATTATGTACACATTTGTGATCCCGCCTACCAAGCCCTGATTGTTCAATTATTTCTGGAACAAGAGGGAACAACCTTCACTGAAGAAGGCAGCAAACCTGTCATATTATAATTACAACTACTAACAACAGAGATTGCTTGGAAGTAAGTCTTAGTTCTCTCGATAGTTGTTAATGGCTTCAATGTCAACGTTTTGCTTGACTTGCGCTCAAGATAGAAATAAAACGTGGTTTCCTGCAGCCCCCCCAGGGCACCAGGGCTGTTCTGAGCGGGGTCAGTTAAAGAGCATTTCGACTGTCAGAGGTCACTAAACACAAACACACTATGTATAGTGTTTCAACCAGGTTATTGTGATTCTTATTCTGATGGGTGATCAACTAGTTACTAAAGGATAAAACAGTAGTTGCATGTTGACAGAGAGAATGAGCCTCTGTTGCATCATATAGCTGATTTTATTTCATAAACAAAACCATGACAATGACTCAGTTTGACAGTCAGACAAAAACATGTTGCTGTCATTGGAGGCAGAATGTGAAGCAGAAAGAGCTGTTTGCCCACATTTCTGACTGTAAGGCAATATCCCCAGAGCTCCAGCTACAAAGACAAGGCCTCATGCACACACACACAGTTAACAGTGTGTGTGTCCATAAAGAATATTAACTGTGTATCTACACCCTCCATTTAACAATCTTTTCCATCTTATGCACATCCTATCAGAACAACTGTTGACGAGATGATTTGTAAATCTGAATAATGATAATAAATGTGATTCACAGTGATTGCGTTCCCATATTTGCAAAGAGAAAAATCTTAGCCAAACAATATCGAAGAACTGACCAACCTTATTAAATAATGTTGTTTTATGTTAATTTTTGTATAAACATTTATTTTTAAAGTATATAAAAAGCCTTGAAACCAATGAGACTGATTGGACTGATTTAGTTTATACAAAATCTACATTTTTAAAGTATTGCAAATATCATCAAATCCCTTTTTAAAAACGTTCAACGCATTGAATTTGTCTTCAATATATTTTGTTGTTTTAATGTTTTATAATACAACTTGGGCGCTATTTTAATATTACAATTGCAACAACCAGTGCAGAGCTACAGGTCAGTGTGTGGCGTCTCCACCTCTGCTTCATGTAGGCGCAGTCTGTAGTGGAATATAAATGTATGGGTGGGATGATATTCTCTTAATATGCATTTAATAAATACGCTCTCAGCCAATCACATCATTGCCTCCAAAACAGCTGTAGAGGCTGCAGATCTATCAACATGAGTCGTGCTGCCTTCAGGTGTCTGTAGGGATTTAAAGACCCGAAGAAGAAACCTTGCACACAGTATAAAACATACTGAAGAAGAAAGAGACTTACAGTTTTTTCATTTCTAGATCAATGCTCCTGCTTTATCCACATTAAACTTTCATTTTACAATGTTGAAAAAGCAAGTGGTTGTTACATTTTTTAATTATAACTCCATTATTGTTGTGCAATTGCTGCAAATATGTATTTTGCTCATGTCAATGACACCCTAGATTGGCAGCCGACAGGAAACACAAACTGTCCGAGCGCTGCTTGCACTGGTCGTTGTGCTGACAAGCAAAAAGAGCCCTTCATGTTTAACTTCATAATGTTCTCTTCATGGTGAACGAGTCAGACATCCTGCAGTGGATGGTGATGTTTCAGATCGAGTACTTCACAAGCAATTTTGGATATGACATGATTTCTTTAAGACATCAAACTGACTTATGGCTTTTACAGGAGCATTTCAATGTTCAATCAAGTTGCTCTCTATAAATCTACAGTGATCAGTTCATACACGTTAGCATTTAATCAATAAATGATGAACCTGACAGTAACCCCGGCAACGTGTGGCAGAGCCGTCTGTCCTGCTGAGTCTGACTGGAGCACAGCCATCTGTAGTTGTCATGGTTACAGCCCCTCATAGTCCTGACTGTTAATGTAGCGTTCAGTTTTGCCATGGTTACAGTGTTATTATGTTGCCGTCCTCTCGCATGCTCTCCTGACTGCTACTAGATGTGTGGGCGGGGTTTCCGTTGTGATTGGACATCAAGACGGAGCTGTCGCTCAGGGAAGCCCCAACGCTATTGGGCAATGAGACGCTCTGTGGGAAGGGCCTGTTGCTAGGTGAGTCTCTGTTGAGGTTAGTGTTGTTGCTGTTGGTTACCCGGCTGGAGTCGTACAGTGTCAGGCTGTCATTCTCTAAGATGAGGTCGCCTTCGTCATCGTCGTCATCACTGTCGCCCTCGGCGATGCTGTTGCTGTGGTTGCAAAAAACCAGAGGGCGAAAAATAAGGATTACATTAATTTTAGACTTTTGTTTTTATGAGTCCAGATATTGTCTTTTAGGTCTCCACCACCTCCTGAGAGAAATATCTGTGTCTTTTTCTACTTAATGTATATATTTGTCCCTTTAAATAAGTTTGGTTGTTGTTTATCTTTTAGGTTGCAACGTTTTTAAGTTGTGTTTCTGAGGTTGCAAAAAACAAGAAGGCAAATAACCACTAAAGTTAGTAATTTATTCTCTTTTTGTTTTACTTGATGAATGCGATTCCAATAGCTCTATTGTTGGTTTCCACCACCTCATGAGCTATATGTTTCTTTATCTGTCAAATGTATATATTTATTTATATAGTGTATATATTTGTGCCTGTATGTAAAAAATGAGTTTAGTTGTTGTTCAATTGTAGGTTACAAAGTTGTAATTGGCAAGAAAGTTGCATTAAGTTGACTTTACACTGGAGAAGACTGAGCCAATGAAACCAAACCATGATTAATATTGTTTGTTTGTTATACACCAAACTGTTTTAGTTGAACCACTTTAAAAGTTACTTATAAATATGTACGGTCTAATGCTAACACATTTTGTTCTACCTTCTCAACAGATGTTCATGCGTTTTTTTAAAGTTATGGGAACATAGCCGACATCAAAGCAAAAAAATGTGTGAAATGTGTCAAGTGATCATGAACAAAATGCAGACATTCAACATGAAATATGAGTGAGGGGTCCTCTCAATGCCATACCTCGCTGTGATGGGGTTGCTCTGGGAGGCGGGGCTTGGTGAGTCATGTGACAGGGCGGAGCCGGCAGATCCAGCTGAGCCCACAGAACCAGAGTTGCCCATTGAGGTTCTACTCCCACGATGCACCACGTTGTTCTTCTGGTTGGCCGGTTTGACGGTCACTATGAGGTTGTGACTGTTGGCCACCATCATGTCTGTAACCTGAAATCAAAGCATTTTTCGTTTTTAGCTTGTAACAGCCACCCCTAACCCTAACTAATTTAAAAACAAAGACACCTTTCCAAAGCGCCAAGGCAAATAGCCGTAGGAAAGGTATTTGCAGTCTGTTTCACGGTAACAAAGAAACTGCACCTTCAATCCAACACATTTTAAATGTACCTGATCTAAAGATTTCCCAGCTACATCGATGCCGTTGACCTCGAGTATCTCGTCATTGACTCCCAGCAGCCCTGTGCATTCTGCGAGCCCCCCACGTACCAGACGAGAAATGAACACCCCTGGGACCTACAGGAGGACGGAGAAAAAAACTTTAATGTTGCAGGTATATATCTCTCGGTCCCACTTTACAATAAGACCACCCTTATAAAGGGTTTACGAATAATTTGTAATTACTTTATTAATTAGGTTGTGAACACTTCACAAATCATTAATAAGCTTTTACAAGACATGAGATAAACAAGGCAACTGTGACCGGTTGCTTGCCAAATAGTGAGCTCACATTTATCTATTGCTAAGCCTTATATTGGCTACCTAGCTTACTTCGTGTTCTTCATCAGCCAGCATCCTTGGTATCTGTTGTTCACTGAGTTGATTCTCGCAAAGTAGCCAATATAAGGCTTAGTCATCTTGCCAAATAGTGAGCCTGTGTTGATGTATGAAAACTACGTTAGAACTGCTTTATAAATGGCTCTTAATGATTAATAAAGTGTTTACAACCTAATTCATAACCTAATTATAAACCCTTTATGAATCCTTTATAAGGCTAGTCTTATTGTAAAGTGGTACCCATCTCTCTATATCTAGGATTTTTGGCATATTGTAGAAAATAAGATCTGTGGCAAACACATTTTTTTTTATCTGTTACAAAGTTGAGGCATTAATGGGATTGCCAAAAGTACGCAGCTAATGTTAGGCTATAAATAAACTACATAACAATCATCTGACTCACATAGTCTCATTTAGCCACTTGTTAGCAACATCTGTTATTAAAACATACAACATTTCACACGTTCACCAGTGCACTGAACCTTTTCACATTATTTTATGTCTTAGAAGAAAACACGAAAATCTTATAACTAATATGAATCAAAGACCTTTAATCCTGAACATTTTCTCTCACCTTCTCTACGCCCTGT